ATGCCATCTTAGTGTGGGCGTATAAAATGTGTTGTTATTGTGATCTTATTGTTTTTTCTAAATTCAAAACATATTTCAGGTTCAAATTGACCTCACAATGTAAAACTCACAAAAAGTGTTTTTTTTTTGCAACCAAACATTCAAATATGACATTAAACACATCCAAAAATATCTCTAAAAAATAAATTCAATCAGAATGGTAAATTTAACTAGAGTAGATTTGATTGAAAGTGGAATTTCTTTTTAAATTGATTTTCTAATCCCCACTTTAAATTCAAATCTCATTTAATTACGGTAGATACAAAAAAGAAGAATGACAGTTGGAGCCATATATCTAATATTTAATTAAACATAGTTTTATTTTTTACTAAAACATGTATCTGATTTGTTTATTTCAAAAAAGTGTATTGATATGATATTAAATGTAGATTCATTTCTTGATGTATCTTATATCTTATCAAACAAATGTTTATTTCAGAACGTGTACATCTTATATGATATTTAATCTAGATTCATTTCTAAAGCATGTATCTAATATGATATTAAACCTAGGTTAATTTCTACAACATGTATCTAATATGATATTTAATCTAGATTTATTTCTACGACATGTATCTTATCAAACAAATGTTTATTTCAGAACGTGTACATCTTATATGATATTTAATCTAGATTCATTTCCAAAGCATGTATCTAATATGATATTAAACCTAGGTTAATTTCTACAACATGTATCTAATATGATATTTAATCTAGATTTATTTCTACGACATGTATCTTATCAAACAAATGTTTATTTCAGAACGTGTACATCTTATATGATATTTAATCTAGTTTCATTTCTAAAGCATGTATCTAATATGATATTAAACCTAGGTTAATTTCTACATCATGTATCTAATATGATATTTAATCTAGATCTATTTCTAGAGTATGTATCTAATATGATATTAAACCTAAGTTAATTTCTACAACATGTATCTAATATGATATTTAATCTACATTTATTTCTACGACATGTATCTTATCAAGCATATGTTTATTTCAGAACGTTTACATCTAATATGATATTAAATCTAGATGTTTTTCTACAACATGTATCTAATATGATATTTAATCTAGATTTATTTCTACAACATGTATCTTATCAAGCATATGTTTATTTCAGAACGTTTACATCTAATATGATATTAAATCTAGATTTATTTCTAGAACATGTATCTAATATGATATTTAATCTAGATTTATTTCTAATATGATATTTAATCTAGATTTATTTCTAGAGAATGTATCTAATATGATATTTAATCTAGATTTATTTCTAATATGATATTTAATCTAGATTTATTTCTAATATGATATTTAATCTAGATTTATTTCTAGAGAATGTATCTAATATGATATTTAATCTAGATTTATTTCTACAACATGTAACTAATATGATATTTAATCTAGATTTAGTTCAAGAGCATGTATCTAATATGATATTAAACCTAGGTTAATTTCTACAACATGTATCTAATATAATATTTAATCTAGATTTATTTCTAGAACATTTGAAACAAGGAAAGCCACTACATCTACATTGCATATACAGTCCTAACTTTTACTACCACTTGGCGGCCATTACAGCCAAAACTGGAATGTGATGGTTCATTACTCTTTGACAGATATGATACAAATTTATATTGCACCTTGTCACCAATTGATAATACCTCACTAAGAAGGTACAATAACTTGACCTGTTCTTGGCACCCTGGTATTAGGTTTCATGTTTCATGTCTAGAGCCCTTCTTCACTAGATTAAATTTGAAATTTTGGTTCTCTTAAGCAAAACTCTGTTCTTTGAAAAGAAGATAGTCGTGAAAATTTCAGAAATCAGAATCCAATCAATCAGGAATATCAACAAACAAATCTGATCACTATAGAAACACACTTTTATATGTGATCAAGTTTTGCAATTTTTAAAAAGCTGCAAAGTATTAGCATTTCAAAACCATATAAAAAGTTTGGAGGCCAACGTATTTATTCAGATAAACAGATAAATAGATTGTTACTCATAATTTGACAGTACCAAGTAATATTTTTATGAATAAGTTCTTGTAGGAAATGCATCCAAATCTTCAAATCTGTGCTCTTAACGATAAACACCCTCATCCCCTCTCAACTATTTTCATTTGTCATTATCAATAACATTTTATTCACCAATGAATTTGTTCGGCCCTATTCCCTTTCCTTTTGTAAATATGTTTGTCACTTCCTGTTTTGTTTCCAATGTACATTTCGCTGCTGTCAACTCCTATATTATGTAAATTATACTTTTATCATCTGTAAATATTCGTATTGGTAACAGATTTATATAAGCTTCGGCTTGTTTCTGAAACCAACATTAATCTATAGCATATGTATGATTTTGTAAATTATCAATAAATATTGTTTAAACAAAAAAAAATCTGTGCTCATAAAATTATCAGTGTAAAATAGGGTAAGTAAGTAAATGAACTAAATTGCTGCTTTTCATGACTGAAATTGCTGAAGCGCCATAGATGGTCGATGGGTCCCCGAGGTTTAAAAGTGTTTTACATTACAGTAAAATACATTTAGACAGAAACAGCAACTCATTATGGACATACATTCATACCGAGTGAAGCGACAGTCGCAGCGTGGGGTCTGTGGCCCACTTAGGTGGAGGGGTGGGGGTGGGTCCTCAGTGGGGTCCATAGGCGAAGTCTATTCATGCGCCAATTTACATTGAATAATTTCAAAACAAGATACAAAAGAAACCAAGGAGTTTATAGAATGGTTCTAAGAAAATTGAATGAAGAAAGTTGTTATAAGAGAGGTCATAAAGATGTGTATGTATGTAATATGATACTGGTCAAACATTAGGGCAGAACTTTATTTTGAAACTTTAATTGGGCAGATTTATTGCACTGTAAAGACCTGATGACATATTGTTTACAGTAGATATACCAACTAATTATAGTCACTGAATCATGGGCAGTACAGAATACTCTTTTTTTGGTAGTAAAAGTTAGGACTGTATACCGTGTATGATCATGTATTGTAGATTTATAAATGTCCTTCCGGTTTGGGAGATTTCTTACAAAATTTTAGATTCTAAACCAGTAGTTATTATGATGGTTTCTGTAACTGTTTATGAAATAGAACCCCATGTAGCTGTAAGTTTGACCTGTATTATGGAGAAACTTGCCACCACTGACACAAGACTTATGACTGTATCCATTGGCTGAACTTCCTCAATTAATTGAATTAAATTAACATAAATTTGACATAAAAAGGCAATATTCTTTGTTCAGAAGTAAATGTTAGTTTATAAATTACTATGTATCAAAATTTGTCTGTAGAAGTAGCCAGAATATATCAACATAATAGTTTTAATAAATCTGAATATAAAGTCCTGCCAAAATAAGCTAGACCATTATATTGGTACTGAAGGCTGAAAATAAAATTCCAGGAATATTTCTCCCAGTAGACAGTGGATTAAAAAATACTGGTTTAGAATGAAATAGAACATGGTAAT